CCCGGGCCAAACTCGCATGTATCATGAACAGAACACCCCCTGAGCAGTCACCTGTTCCCGAATGGATGCAACGCCACTGCCCTGAGGTGAGTTCCGAGCTTTGAGGCCATTTAGTTTCCTGAACACAGACTATTTGTGGAGTATCCTGGCCATGGGCGACCTTGTCATGCAGCCACGCAAGAAGCTCGGTGAACCTTGCAGCATGCAAGCCTCCGCCGTTCCAACTTACATAGTACACCGGTGAGAACCTAGCCTGGCTCCGATGGGTATCTACTCGGGCCCTAGCGGGGGGTTGCCTGGGATGTTTTAGCCTAAGGGCCGAAAGGCTGTGGAGGTCATGCTGCTGGCCTCGATAGCGAGTGCTGCCTTGCTGCATGGCACGAATTTGTGCACGTCGGAAGGCTCGCTTGCGGGCAGGCGTGAGCTGGGCTATCCTACCGCCATGCGCTACAATCTCCGTACATACATACATACATACATACATACATACATACATACATACATACACGCAAACACATACTTATTTACACACACACATATGCACACATACACACACACACATACACGGATATATATATATATATGTCTAGACTATCTATCTGTTAGTGGATTTACACATGTCTACGTATGTCATACATGTATAGACCACACATATACATCTTACACTGCCACCGTGAAGGGCCTACGGCCTTCCGACTGTTTCCAAACTGTTAATAAACGAAGAATCCGTTTCCGTGCTATCCTCGCCTTAGTGCGGCAACCTCCTAGAACCTCAACTGTGCGAACCTCCTCCCTGAAATCCAGAATATGGGGGTCGTGACAACTACAGCAGGTTTTTGGTGTGGAGCAGAATTACATGAAGGAATGTTGCGTATCGCAATATTTTGTTTAGAAAAGTCCTCTTTCCAAGCAAGCTTCGTTAAATCCTCTTCTTTGCTTCGAGCATTGGGGTCGGGGCGTTTAGGGTTTAGGGTTTTAGGGTTTAGGGCTTTAGGGTTTAGGGTTTAGGGCACATTCCAGACGAGCGTTCAGGGACAGATGACTTGCAGAGGAAACTGAGTGTTTTCTGTAGGGTCAGGCGTTTATCTCCTAGTCCAGGGAAAAGCGGGGGTTACAATGTTGAAGAGATGTCTGGGGAATGCATATCTGAGCTGACGAGTTGGGATGTAAGCCTGCAGCGGCAAGTCTGATGAAATCCGGTGCCCAACAAGGCGAGAGCCTAAAATGAAGAATAACTATCGTAAGCCCCAATACTAATAAAAACCAAAAAGCCCAAACAAAGCCCGAGAACCCAGAAACTCGAAGGCACTGAGCCTCAGACACCTTGAGCCTGAGACCCTGACTAAACCCTTCGAAAAAGCCGTGCTCCTAAAACCCTAAACTCTCAGCCCTGAACCGAAAGCCTGAGAAAAACTCCCCTGACCCGCCTGCTTCTGCATCCGAGCCTGTGGAACGATTTCAAGGTGGATGACATGATGTTGAGATTTGGGGCGTTGGGGGGCTGGGGTTCAGAATGGCGGAACCACTTAAGGCTGTTGTTTTAACGTCTAGGATCTTAGGATATTTGAGCAGGAGCTTCCTTGAGGTTCTCTTTGAGATCAGGGCTCCTAGACCCTCAACCCTAAACCCCGAACC